TGCACATATCTCATAAACAGAAAATGTTATGAGGAGTCTGCACTTAAAAGGGATCTCAAATTTATTTAACCTTTCAGTAAAGGGCTAACTTTATCAAGTGAGTTTATTTTTGTCAAATGTGTAATTGTATAGCTTAATATTGCATGACAAGTTACATACAAGTTAATACATTATTTTTTTTTTGACAATTAATTACTTGAGGAAACTTTTTTCCTAGAAAACTTCTTTGAAAATTTATTATACTTAGTTAATTTAGGTTGCTAAAACCCCACTTTTCCATTGTGAAAGGAGACTGGCAGAGTTTTCAGTCTTTGCATGTAATCCCTTATCTGCTGGAAATTTTAATAACTGCTTGAAGAATAGTTAATTCTGCAAACACATGAAGGAACAGAATTCCTTTCATCGTCTTTACTCAGTGTTTATTGAGGCACAGTGTCTTGAGAACGGAACACTTTAGAGGTAACTGGTTTGGATAGACTGGATAGCATCTTGCCATTAAGGGAGACTGAGGTGCATGATTCTGCTACAGGTAGGTTATGCCACAGTTTTTTGTATCTAACATATGATTTAACATATGATGTATCTGTAACACATGATGTAACATACTGACAAGTTTCCTACAACAGGGTTGCATTGCTGTTGATGCTTGGTGGTGAAAGTTACATTCAAAAATTATAAGATAGGCTCTTTATCTAACTTGAATTAACAAATGATTTTAAAAAGATCAAGGGAGACTGTTTTTGTTAATTTATTTTCTGCCAAATCTTAATAAATAAATAAATACTATAGAATACAAATTTCAGATCCTCATTAGGTATTTTATAAATTAAATCAGAATGAATTTCTGTGATAAATCAGATTAAAATTGGGATATTGTGTTGAGTAGTTTGCCAAAAATAGAAGTCTATTGCTAGTTGTAGAGTGGACCAATGGATTGAAAATATCAGTGACAAGCTATTCTGGCACTAAGTCTTGAATAGATTTTAAAAGCATGATGTACTGTTGTATTGGACAATTTTTGGACCCTTGTATTTTGTACTTTATATATTCTTTAAAGGATAGTGCAGAACTTGCAGCTATAATGGATGAGACTCCAGGCAGAGTTGGTGGGCTGAGGAGTATGTAGGTACTTGAGTTGATTGGGGCCTTCGTGTTGACCTGACAGTTCCAGGCACAGGAAGCTTGCACACCTGTGGAGGAGCCCTGGGGACAGTTGCATATTGAGGGAAAGCTTGCTTTGATCAAGTTTTATGTATATTTAAATTATTCAGACTGGAAGCGTGAATCATCTTATCTCTAAAAGATTATTCCTTCATTTTATTTGCCTTTAGAGCTTAATTTCTTTGGCATTGCTAGATGCTAGACTTCTTTTCAGTGTCCTGCAGGTATGTACGATTTTAAAGAATTGCATGAATAGCCAAGAGCTAGAGCCTACATGCAAACATTTGACAACTTAGTATTTATATTTAACATGAAACATAATTTAGATGCAAATACTTGTAAATCAAAACTCTTTGAAGATGGAATTGACTGGTGCTCTCAATAATTTAAACCTGGGAATGTTTGCTAGTATTAACTTACGTTCTTGAATTCATTCAGGAATTACATTCTTGAATTAGATTCATACAGGTATCTAGCATCTCTGGTAATCATTATGTGTTTTAATTTAGGTTGTTGTCAATGAAAACAATGTTTCAATGAATTCTGCAACATATGTTTCACAAATTGTAAATGTGTTTTCCTGACCTAAGGTAGAGAAGAAAAAAAAATTAATGCCTAGGTTTTTTCCTTGGCTTGTTTCAGTAACACTAGTTCTACCTATTTTTGTTTAATATGGGAAATGAAGTGTACCTGTATGCTACTTTATAACCATGCCTTCGTTGTCATGCGTTTCCTCCTGATACACTTGCAAGAGAAGTATAGAGGGATGCTTATGCAGATGGAGGGAAGGGAAACTGAGTATCAGGTCTAAATTTGATGTGCTAAGCATGTACGCCTGATCCCTAAAGTGCTTCTAAAACTTTCTTAAAACACAAAGAGATGAAATTAGGTAGATTAAAAAAATTAAAAGATTGTGAGTGATTGTAATGATACTTGCTGTCTGTAATTATCCTTTTTAACTCTTTTCAGTTTGCAACAGAATGCCTTTACTTAATAGCCCTCTGCTCAGATTTTAATAATTAAAGTCGATCAGAGGTGATTGGCCAGACCCACTAGTCTAATAAAACAGTTGTAAAAGACCATCTCTCTTAAAGTTGTTTTGGTTCTTTCGTTTTACTTCCTGCTGGAAGAATTGCTTTATAGGGCAATGTCAAAAGAAAACTGTGAATGGCAAAATCCCTACTTCTTGTCTTTTTGTGGAGACGGAAGCTGCTACGTAGCCTTGCGGGAGGATAAATGCTTGTAGGAAAATATAACTTTTACAGCAGTCAACTTCCTTGCCTTAGATGTCTTCTGGGATCTGTGTTTCCCAGAATTCCTTTAACAAACAGTCTGTTATTTGTCTAAAAGAAGAAGAACGCTCTTATAGAGACTCTTTCACCTCTACACCAGTTTCAGCTATGAACGGAATTAGGAATACAGAGTTTGCTTTACAGCTTTATTGGCACAAAGGCTTCCTTCCGCATTTGTTTCTTGCATAATCGAGAGGGAGAAGACTTGCATCCCCTTTTCTGTCTTTGCAGAAAGAAATCTGGTTTGGAAGTTAGGACAGGAGGACACGCAGTATTATACAGCACAGAAACCTCACTCAGGTCTCTTCTCAGTAAGTTTCACGAAGAACAGGAAGGCCTGAAATTTCATTTAAAATGTATTTAGAGAAAAAGCCAGAACAAATAGATGTAAATGTCTGGGTGGAGTGGTTATTCAAGATGCTGACTTTTTAATTGCTGGCTATTATCCAGGTGGAGTTAGCTCTTAAACTTCCTTTGGTTTAATTACCTTAATTGTAGCAAGAGCTTAATTCTGCCCAGTACAGTGCCTGACTCTCTAATTATTTTCTACAGTCTACATTTTTTTTTTTTTCCAAATGAGAGGTGCAAAGTATTATTATTACCAAAAAGCCAGTAGAATTTTTTTTCAGAGTTTTAAGGTAGCAAACTATAGAAATTGTTTGTGTGCTTAGCTCTTGTGAATGGGAAATATTATTTAAATTTTAAATTCAGTTCACTGTTCTTACTTTCAATGTTAGATATGCTTTGAACTTTACTGCTATAAATTAAATTCTCCCTCCCCAAAAACCCCCCGCCCCGATGGGTTGTGTTGAGGCACAGAAGATGCCTCTAGATTTTTTGTTTCTGGGTGTGTTTGCCTCTTGGCTTCCCTGGATAATTTTTTGCATTTACATCGAATCCTTAGTTAAAAGATCTTTTTTTAACCAAGAATTACTTTTTTTAAAAATAATAATGTCTTCTAATTTAATGCTGAAGATTGAAATAGTAAAAGACAAATCGGAACAATGTTTTCTGGTTTAAGGTTTATGTGCTTGTACTCGGGCCTTTTCTGTCTGTTCCAGTTTGTGAACTGGAATAAGAAGTCATACTCTTGCAGTAAGATTGAATTCAAGCAGGTTCACTCAAATGACGGGGGTTCCTATTGCCTCTCTGTGAGGTGTCTGGGCCAAGCTGCTTGTACCAGCTCTCTGCAGGGTCAGTAAAAGGATTTTGAATCTTGGGAAGTGTGTCTATCTCTCCCTTGCGACCTAAAAGCGATCTTGCACTTAACTGCTCAGAGTTTGTGATATGAATTGAACTCCAGGTACCTAGCAGTGTGTGAGCACATGCATGTGCATACACGTGTACATGTCTAGGTAGAAGTGCTGGGATGGAAAGGTTTTAAAATTGACATAGTAAAAGAGATCATTACTGAATATTATCTAGAAACACTGTCTGTGCAGAGTTCAAAGCAATCTGATGATCTTTGATAACTTCTTCCAGAACTTGAATATATTGTCCTGTATATTGACTTGTTCTTGTTGCTTTATCTTACATATGAATTTCCTGAGGTTAAAGATTGCTCTTCTTCAAAATATCTGACAGTCATAGAGTGGCTTTCTTGTATCAACAAGTGCACAGTAATTTTTCAAATTAACTATAGCTACCTGCATTGATGGCTATTAAAAATGAGAGAACTCATCAAAACTGGTCTTAGTGCTAGGATTTTAAGAGGTACTTGCAGGATCAACCTTTAGTCTTTCTATGGTTCTGCTCTTACAAATACACAAAATTTTCTACAATGCTGTGGTGAGGTTAGAGCCTGGGAGAAAACAATTCCTTTTTTATTCCAATTTTTTAACTAAAAACTTGTTCACATTTAGCGAAAACTAAGATCTTTAGAGGAGTTTCATGAATAAATAAGCTAGCAGCTTAATGAAAGCGAACAAATTTGGGAGTCAGTCTACTAGGAACATAATTTCGTAAGTGCTTCAGCAG